TCAAGAGATTTCATCCTGGATAGTGTTTGTATATTGGGATTAGGAGTGGGCAATTTTGATTTAATGTCATGATGCATTTCAGTAAATGACGTTTAAAGTGACACACAGTCACAGCTATATAAGTTACCAATAATGCCCTGTTAGCGCCCCAAGTTGTCAGATAATTACTAGCAAAACTAGCCTATAAGTAAGGCCAGGCAGGCGGTCAGCATCACCTTCAGTTTCTGTGTCAAGCAAACCAAAGTAAATGAATCTTTGTCAATGTAGATTGAAGAACTGAATGAAGGAATCCATTGCTAAAACATGTGACTCATAGTTGGATCAATTTTGTAGCAGTGGTGCTCATGAGTAGTCTACATGGCATGTGAAAGCACAGGTGCATCAACATAAAAAAAGGACAAAAACAAAAATCAATGGAGACTGGATTATCTGGTATCTGGTTATCTTTTTCTTTTTTTGCGGCATCATGTGTTCCCTTCTCGCTTAATTAAAGGGCAATTTTAAAAGTGTTGCAGGGTACAAAAAGTTGTGACAGCCAAGGTTTAAAATGGCATAAAATACTTAAACATGTCATGTGTTTTAGACTGAATTCTGAATTGTTTTTTTTATTTTAAACGTCACCTTTCAAACTCATGGAGAAATCTTAAGGTACTTTTCAAAATTCTACAAGTATTAGAAGATTTTGTCAATTGGAAGTTGAAGAGTTACATGTTTCAAGTGTAAACTGGGATCTGTGGAATATTTCCATAAGATTATCTGACGCACAGCTTGCCAGAGGTGCCTGGTAGAGCCATCTCGATGTACACGTGCCTGAGTAGCGCGAATCCTCCTTTCTATGGGAAAGTTGTGCAACATATTCACAGATCCGTTGCTCAACTACAAGAATGATGCATGATATTCAACTTCACACAAGTACAGCATGTGTGTGCAGTTATAACCTTCATGTTATTCCAGATCACCTCAGCTAGAATTCTGCACTTGGACTACAAATTTATTTGAAGACTCACAGCAGCATGTTTCATAAAATCTGCAAATAAATCAAACATTGTGAGGTTTAAAGGGGGGGGAAAAAGGCGCGTTTAATCACACAAACACGCTGGAGATTGCTTGATCTTTGACACAATGCGAGGTTAAATCAATAAATTCAGCCTAACGATGAGACTCACTGGGCTTATCTATGAGATGAGGAGCAAGGAGGTACATCAATGCCTCATTTTGCAAGAAATGTTGCTTTGCAAAATATGCAAGAGTTGCCGGAGCAAGAGCTTAGACCACACAATACAAAGCAGTTTGTACATTCTGCATTGTGTTGTTAAAATGCTAGTGGTGTGGGGTCAGGCAGCTGACCCATCAGAGACTGAGGGGGATAGAGAGAGAGAATTAGACCTTTATGAGGAAGATGAGAGGCATCAGCCAGCTGAATGTCTCCATGTGTTGGAGCAGGAAGCCACTAACAGCATCATCTCTCTGGCTTTCAAAGCTTTACCTCCTTAATTACCCACAGCGCTCTCTGCAAGTGTGTGTGCAGAAGCTCCTCGGCTTAAAAGAGGCTCGACACCATGCTGCTAATATTGCTCAGCATAACACATTAATTCCAGGGGTCATGTGCTTTGATAGACCACAGAAAACGCTTTTGAAGCAAAAACCTAACATCTAACATGACCTACTTTGAATTTTTTAACCTTAATAGCATAGCATATCTGAAAAACCTTGATGAGAAAACTTCTACAAAAACAGGAATGGTTCAATATTTGGATTTAATAGGTTAGTGTATCTCAATTTTTTTTCTTTTTCTCAAAAGAAAAAAAAAACACTTTCTGCATCTCCATAAAAAACAGCTCATACCTCTCATAGCCATGATGTCAAGCTGTAACTTTAAAACCCAAATGACCCAAAAGTCAGTATGTGACTGACTGAAAAACTATCAATCAGAGATTCTCCTTGTTGGATTTGATCTGTGATCATCAGATCAGAAACTGCAAATTGACTGAAAACCCTGACATAGCATGCATAGCGGGCATTTTATCCCAAAGCATTTGATCACAGTTGTTCTACATAAGGAACAACGTTTTTATCAGAAGCTATTTTCTGCATGGTACATTAGCATAAAGATAAGATGCAAGGAAAGAATGCTGTTCCATGCAGTGATGCTTCCAGATGCGAAACATTTGTCTGCGCGTGTGTTAAACTTTTTTATAGAGTACATGCAGTCTACAGAGGTTCACCACAGGCCCTTTGTGCTACTTTAATCGTTCTATGTTTCATTTGTGATTTTTACCAGTGTGGTTTGTGCACAAGAGTCTGCCTGGGCGTGTCAGCCTCTCCCTGCTTCCATCTTTCTGGTTTCTCCTGCCATATGCATTTCATCTTTCAGCCAAACGAAGTCTAACAGGAGTGTGGCTGTATAGTCTCACCGTATGAAGCTCGTCTTTCCAGTGGAGTACTGCCCCACCAGCAGGACCATCGGCTTGTTGTCAAAGTCAGCATCCTCCAGCGCTGGAGAGTGAAACTCGTGGAACTTGTAGCTCTCCTCCAGCGGCAGGAGTTTGGTCTTGTAGAGTTTTTTCAGTCCATCACTGACCGTCTGAAAGACTTCTGGCTCTTTCTTCCTCCGGTCGTCGGTTCCAAGCCAGCTGAACATTGCTGCAGTTTACCTACTGGTGGTCTAATTAGCAAACTTCTAGGATGAAGGTGGGTTGGAGGGGGAAAGCCAAAAGAAAAAAAACAAACAAACAAAAAAAAACTTGAAGATCAAGGTGAGAGTGTTCAGCTTTTTCCTAACATGCAGGTTCAGAAATTAAATGTAGGGAGATATTTTTGCATATATGACCAAAAAAAAAAAAGACAGATCTTATGAAAAAAATTGACAAAACCAATACCAACAAAAATGTTATGCAAAGTTAATTTATGTCACAAAGTGATCAAGTAAATTAAATGTCAACGTTTAACCTGCACTGAATGAAGTTGATTAAATAATCTGGAGGTTACTTCATTCAATTAAACAGTATATCAATTTATTATCACAATTCAAACCGCTCCCTGGTCGGGCTCATTGGTCCTTCCAGCTCCAGGCCACTAATGCTACCCAACACTGCTTTGAATGAGTTTGTTTTGTTTTGTTTGTTTGTTTGTTTACTAATCTGCGCGAGTAAACAAGCTCCACTGAGAAAGACGTTATTTATTCTGCTCAGGCACTGCGCACCGTTACCGCTATTCAGTACGATCCAACAGTTAGCAGAGGAGTCCCAGGAAGGATGTGGCTGTCTGTCAGTGTGCATCCACCGTCATTGTTCCGCTTCTCCTGCTCTTCTGCTCCCAAAACAACCCGAACCTCCTCAGTCAGGGTCCGCGGGTAATTCTGCTGCTTCCCGAGACAAAAAAAAGACAAGCTAACTGTTTCTGCTAGGCGTTATTTTTGTTTCTTTCCCTGTCACGCAGCAAAGCTGAGTGGGGCAGCAGCTGATGTCCTGCAGCCCAATTTAAATGCCGAATGACGGAGACGGGCGAAACCTGACCCCCGGCGGAAGTGCTCAGCTGCTGGCAGCGCGAAGCTCGACCCACCGCGGTCCCCGCCCAGTGATGGTGATGACGATGCGGAGCAAGACGTCCCGGACGGCGCCATGTTGGATGGAGAGGAGTCGGAGGGAGAGGGGAGTAAAAGCACACAGCGCCACCTAAAGGTGACATCGGAGTATGACCAGAGCTTTCTGGAAAGATTATTCAATGAACTGTTACCAATGTTGCTATTAAACATAACGTCAAAAAGTGAATATATAAGCTGCTTTTTTTAAAACAATCTTTTAAAAATGATTCTAGAAGTCGCCATTTCATGTCATTTTCTAATATCCCTGGTGTTGTGTTATATTGAAAGATACGGAGGCAAAAAAAGTGATAAAAACATCCTTTAAAAATGATTCCAATTGTTTGTTTTTTTTCCAACATCTCTACCAGAACCTACAACAGGTCAGGAAATGAACATTTTCAAGCTGGACAATCTAACCAAAACAATTAAGCAAAAGGCGCCAATGTGTTGACATTCCTATCTGATGTACTGTATAAGGCATGTACAATTTTTTGAAGTCATGATGTGGGTAGAATTTATTTTTTTTACATCGTGTGTAAGTTGTGAGACAGTTTGCACTGACTGATGGCACTTTTTTAAAATTTTGTTGTTCCTGTGACAATGAGAATAAAGACTTTTATCTTTTAGAACAACACTTTTTGTTCAAACTGCAGTTGATCCAAGACAGGCCCTGAACGTAATTGGGTCTTGCTTTCACCATCAAATCTCCAACCACACCATTAAATAGTTGTTACATATTATGCTTTTGAAATGACTGGCAATTAGAATGATTCTTTCTGAAGTGTTTCCATATTTCAAGCACTATTAATCCAAGGGCAAATTAAGTCGCATTTCCTTTTATTTTAAATATCAGCCGGAGGTTCCCACCAGCCCTTGGATGCACAATATGAATCTACAAATTTTTGTTGTTTCTTGCTGCCTAGTTTATCAGAAATAGGGCTCATTTTAAATTCACACAATAATCTTCAAATTCAGCACGTGTTGTCTGTTGTTAATTTCCTTGTTAGATGCTCAATGTGGAAACAAATAGATGTTTCCACATTGAGCCTGGTTAGGGGATGTATGTCCCGACTCTTAATTCTGCCACCTAAAGCTTGGGGCGATCCCAGGTATAAAAATATTGTCTTTCATGAGATATGACAATGTTTTGATGGAACAAGAACAGTAAGAATTTCACAGTATTTTTATAAACTAATTTGTTTGGTCTTTTACATACAAATATAAAAAAACAGATTGAGTCATATCATAAACCAAACAATCATGTAAAAAAGTGAACACTGCACAATACTATTAATCATACAGTGGTAGCAGAAGACTGTTTAACAAATAGTTGTTTGACAATTTAAGTATATTTATAAAAATATGAGCCAGGGTAGGAAAAAAGTCACCCTCACTTAACAGAAACTGACAAGAAAAGTATGTAATACATTTATTTTATTTTTTTTAATTCTGTCATTTCTGTCAATACAAATACATATCAACGTAAAACTTTATATCAATGTAAAACCATGATGTAATTTAATTCCAAGAGTTTGCATACAAAGTCTGTAATTTATCATCCTTAACTCTGTAAACACAAAAAACAGAAACTAAATGAACCAGCGGGAATCAGAATTGAAATAAGTTAAAAATTATGACGGAGCACTTGGATCCTCCCTGGTATCTTATTCTGATGGTCGGACCAAGAGAAAAAATGCTGTGCATAAATATTTTAAAAGCTTCATTAAAAAAGGCACAGAATCAGAAACAACAATAATACAACTAAATAAAGATTTCCTTCATTTATATTTGAGTAAAAAAACAACTACTTTTAAGTTATCTTCTCTATTACAGCTCAAAAAAAGGAAAGTGAAAGTATTTGCAATATTGTATTTAATCATACCACTTTAGTTAGGCCTATTTATGGAGATGGAATGAGGAAATATCTGTGTCAAGTAAAGAAGTCTGGCAACTTAGGGACACAGAGAAAACAAACCTTCACACGCATATCTTACTTCTAAGAAACCAAACAAATTTTGGCCTAAACCAGAAGATCAAGATAGCAACACGATTAATTAAGATAAAAAGAATCTGCTGGCTTTGTAAGGAAAGGAAGTAAAAAAATGATATAGTGAGGAATGAAAAGTTGACACATTGTGCCACACAATACTTCATGAGTAAACATAAAATATATTTAGGAATAAAGTGCTATATGTTCCTCTAGAAATAATTAACATGCACAAAGTAAACTGATCATCAGAAATTATTTAAAATCAATTTAAATACATGAGGAAAGAAGAAAAGTGGAACACAAACCAAAGAAGTGCAAAGGTACGAAATGACGAAGATGTCTCGTCACAGCACCTTTCATCTACACAAAAATCCAATAAATGTAAACACCTCATTGTGATTTGAGCTTCTATTTATATATAAAAAAAGATCTACATTAACTGGACTCAAAAGCTAATGGAGTACATTACTGTAATATGATACTGTGATGCTTGTAGATAAGAGTAAAACTGGCAGTCACTTTCTTCTAGTCATCATTTGAGATGACCAAATCCCATTTGCTAAGAAAATGATCTGTTTCTTCCTCTTCATTACTTGCTTGTCTGAGAAGCACATTTTCCAACTTCAGGTGATTTCTCGTTGTATACATCTCCTCAAATGTTCCTCCTGTATTGTCCTCTTTGCCTCTGTCTGAAGGCTGCATGCCACCCAACCTTTTGTTAACGTGAAAGGTCATCCCTGGCATGGGCAGCATGTTCTCAGGATTCCAGTTACTACACATCTTAAAATGACCTGCCTCTGCTTTCTGTGCTGTTGCTTTAATCAGAGCACCATACTCATCTGACAAGCAGTCAGACTGCTGTGAGTGGACCGTGGGCCTGGTTGGGATGACCTGAGAGGCATATTCAGACAGAAGAGGAACATTCTCACCCTGATTTTGTTTCTCTTCACCTCCCTTTATTCCTTCCCTCGTTCCTTCCTCCTTCAATAATGGTAGGTTTAGATGGACGTTAAATGTACCACTTTGTACGTTTTTGGTATGCCACAAAGCTGAGGACTCTGTATTGCTATCTATAGTTTGCTTATCACTGAATGATCTCTGATTAGATTGGGTTGGTGCCTGAGTTTGTGATGTTAAAACAGGGTGTCCTATGGAGCATGGCAAACTCCGCAATAAAGTACTAACCTCTGACTGCATAGGTGTTTGCCCAAATGTTTTAGCTTGAGGCTTGTATCCATTAGAAGAATTATCATCTTTAACCTCAACATCTTTCTTCTCGTAACAATCTACATTTTTCTGGTGTTTATCCTTCAAGTTATTCATAGCAACTCCTTCCTCAGGCTCCCTCTGTCTTGTGTCCTTTCCACTAACTTTTTTAGTGAAGACAGCGGCATAGTCATCTGACAAATCATTCAGGGGTTCTTCAGGTTCTTGTTGCACATCTGACCTCTGAGGTGCATATGGATTCGGGGGTTGCAATCCATATGGAACGAAGGATTGTATCCCAGGAGGTGGCTTATTGGGAATGATACTGGTTAGCTGCAAGGTGGCATTATCAGGAAGGAACACAACGGGACATGGGTGAAAGGATAGTTGATTCTAGAGAGAGAAGAAGAATTTTGCATGAAAAATTTGTACAAGCAAGTTAATGGTGTAAATGTCTTTGTCCACATGAATATGTATTCAAATTACCAATATAGGTGGGCTTGTCTGTCCCTTCCCACTCAGGTAGTTGTAGAGAAGGTAACTGGCCAACACAATTATACAGATGCAAACCGATGGGATAACAATCCCCACAACCACTTGCTGCAGCTGTATAATAACAGGGTCTGTGGGAAGAAATAGATCAGAGTCAATAAAATGTAAAGTAGGTCGACAATTTTACACATTCGTCCATCCTTTCTCTTCCACTAATTCATGACTGTGTTTCAAGGGTTAACAGGTGCATGAGGGAAACCCAGACATCCCTCTTTTCACCAAAAACCAACAAGTCATTAACAGGGATTGAAAGGCCTTCCAAGGTCAGGAGGGTATGTCATCTTTCCAAAATAATCTTGTTTTACCATGTGGACTCCCTCCCAATAGAATGTGCCAGGAATACTCCCAAAGGGACAGATGCAATAAGCATCCTAAACAAATGGCTGAACCACCTCAACTGGGGACTGTCAATGCAGAGGAGCAGTGACTTAGCTTATCAAGCTGATGGAGAGCCTTACTCTGTATTTAAGGCAGAGACTGGCCTTTTCATTCAGCTGAGTTAAACTAGATGTTCTGGCATGAAAAACAAAATGAATGACTCTTCAGTTTTTATATCTAGTTCAGCAGGATTCTTTCCAATCTGCCTTTTCCAAATCAAAAGAATGTATTTCACTAACACGTTTGTTACAAGGGTGTACCTTGAGGTGTGGTTATGCAGTGCCAAACTGAGGACATGGACTGGAGTGGTATGGAGAGGAATCTTGATTTGGCAGAGAAGCAATATTCTGTATTATAGTCCATCAGGTGATATTTGAACACCCTGTCCTCCACTGGAAAATGAAGCTGCAAAGCAAAGGATAGATAAAGATAGATAAGCTGGTGCTACAAAATATTAATCACAACTTCCCTGAAAATTTTGAAAACGACAAAGTAGTAGTTCAGATTCTGGTTCTTCGTTTTACCAACTGTTCTAAAAGAAGTCATTGCTTCCAGACAGATTTCTCATGCTTTACTTTGGTTTTCTGAATTTGACGTTTCAGATTATGAAAACATTAAATAAATACAATCTGAGTAAATACAGAACGCTTTATTTAGGTGATTCTTCCATTTATTCAGGAGGAAAAAGCTATCCAATCCAGCAGAGCTCAGTCAAAGTCAATAACTGGTGTCATTCACATGAGTGGGCCAGATCCTAGACAAAAACTACTGATGATCAAAAACAACAAAAATATCTATCTTAAACCATTTCAAAAATCCCCAATGATTTTGGGAAAATATTCAGTGGACTGACAAGATTAAAGTGAAACGTTCTGTAGAGTGTACATCTAGTTACATCTGGTTGAAAACTAACACAGTATTTCAGAAAAGGATTATACCAACATCTAAATATGACATGATGGTAGTGTTGCAATTTGGAAGTGCTCTGCTGCTGCAGGACATGGACGACTCTACCAGAAAATCTCATCTGGATTAGTTTCTGAACTTGAGGTCAGAATGCAACTCCTTTTTTCCACTGGGGCAGATTCCCTAGGACATTTTTTCCCTTCTTAAATTAATTGAAACACATCTGGAAGCAGGTTTTGTATTTACTAGGTTTGTCTCCTGCTAAATTTAGTTTGATCATCAGATACGTTTAAAAGGAGTTCAAAACAAATGAAATTTATATCTATATTTTTCTCCAGTACTATTTTGTGCATATGCTTGAACATGAAAGAGTTTCAAATGTTTAGAAAATCTTTCTTTGAACTTGTAAAACATGACTGAACAGTTGTGCATAATCCTCACTTTCTTGTCACCATATTTAATATTTTTACTCACCACTTGATTTCGGTGGGTGTTAAAGATGGAGAGGTTGTAAGACATGCGATGGTAGATTGTTTTCATGGTAAGCACTGGGGTGTTGTTGTTTGGTGAATACCTCACCGGCCCACTTAGAGTGACAACTGCACTGTTGTTCTCCATTTCCACAGAAACCAGTGGAGGGCCGAAAATTGCTAAACACACAGATGTTTTATGTTTTAAGATTATCTACAAATATTTAACTCTCGCCTTGCAAATGTGCAGAGTTTGGTTAAAATACTTGTTGCAAATGATACAACAAAAACTCCTCAAGTCAGTATGTTTTACTTACTCTCTGACTTTGGATCAAATCTTTTGTTTGTCTCAGTCCATTTTGAAGATGATTTTCTTCCCAATGCGCGAACTCTGGCAAAGTATCTTTCTTCCTCATCCCACGTCTCAGCACTCAGATCGCACCAAGTCCGTACGATATTTGTGCACTGGTCCACTGATCTCCAGGTTTCCCGTTTTCCTTTTCTGACCTCCCTGGTGTTTCCATAGCTGTGAAAGACACAGGTCCATGCAAGGGGCAAAACAAAAACTGAAACTCCAAGCTTTGAAACACTTAATCAGAAAACAGGTTACTTTTCAAGGACACATTCATGCACAGTTTATTGACTGTACGTTTACTGAGTATGATCTTACATGGCGTATTGCACAGTAAAGAGTGTGCCATCTGGTGTGCCATTTCCTGGAAACCAGTGCAGAACATTCCTCAGGTTCACGGAAGAGAATCTGACATTAATCGGTTTGGGAGGAGAGGAGGAGACTAAAAGGAAGCAGATTAAAAAGTTCAGATTGTTAAAGATGCAAAGCACGGCTCCATATAAAGTCACATAGCACATGATGCTTGAGGCCGCTTTTACATTATTTTACTGTCCTAATAACCTCCACACTTGTTCTGTGAAACAAAGTGAAGCCTTCTGCTATAATCTGCCAGGACACTATAAGGGATATTCTGTATTCAGTACTGCTACCTACCATTACAATGTTGAGACAAAAGAAAGCCCCAAGTAAATGACGGAAAATAATATTGGAAAATATAAGTCAGGAGATGGATATTACAAAAAAATTCAAAGGAGTCAGTTAAATCCACAATCAAGAAATGGAAGGAGTATGGTGATCTGTCTTGATCAGGCCGTTCTCACAAAAGGAGTGATTGTGCATGAAAGACACCAGGGAGAGAGGTCATCAGGACACATATGACTACACTGAAATAGTTAGCTTCAGCAGCTGAGATGGGAGAGGCTCTGCACACAACTGTTGTCCCGGTTCTTCACCAGTCAAAGTTTTACGGGAGAGTGGCAAAGAGAAAGCAACTGTTGAAGAAAGCAGTTTGAGGAGAGTTTGCCAAAAGACATGTTGGAGGCTCCACGGTCAAGTGGAAAAAAGTTCTTTGATCTGGTGAGAACAAAATGCTATCAGACAAAGGATCATTTTATGACCCAACGCATCCAACTAAAGATACAGCGAAATGGTTTACAGCCAAGGTGGAGCAGCCAAGTCACAGCCCAGACATTAATCTGATAGATAATCTGTGACAGTACTTGATAAGGGCTGTTCACAGCCGATCCCCAAGCAAACTGCCATAGCTGGAACAGTTTATCAGGAATAATGGAGTAAAATTGCGGTGCCCAGATGTGAAAGCCTGACTGAGACCTCACCACACCGACTCAGTGCTGCGATTGCAGGAAAAGGTGCATCTATTGCATCTACTGACTTAAAGGCTGTGAATAATTATGCAATCACTTATTTTATGTTGTGAATCTAAAACAGGAAGGGTGACATTGTAATGAATTCTTCCATGTCCCACATGAAGTCATTGTAAATGAATTTAATTCATACTTTAATGTGGTAAAAAATGTAAAAGTAGTCTAAGACAGTCAAAAGTCTGATTGTATTACAGTGTTCTCCTGTATACAAAGCAGTTTTAACATTGTTTTAAATGTGAACCCAAATGCAGCAGGCATGTTCAATGTTCTGTGTGAAGTTAATGTAAAAATAAATAAGTAAACTTACAAAAAAAAAAAAAAAGCGAGATGCCAGAGTAACACAAATAATCAAAACTAAAGCCAAGCAGGCGACACAAAGAGAGCGGGGAAACTAGGGAGAAGTGACGAGATGAAACGGCTAGAACTGACTGACAATGAAGTGCTTAAATACTGGGAGGTTGATAAAGAAACTGGGCTAATTGCTAAAGGGGCTGCAGGTACAGGTGAAGAGATCAGGAGGCAGACTGAGTAGAGGGTGAGAGAAAGTGGAAATAAATCCAACATTGAAGAATACCTAAAGAAACATAAATAAACAACAGAGACAAATAATAACTTGAAACAAGAAGTTAGACACACTGAGGAACAACTGAAGTGGAAATTGAACAAGACAGAACTAATAGAAAAAAACTAAGGAGCACAAAAAATGACAAAACCAAAAACAAACAACCCCAAATCCTAACACATTTCTCTTTTTTGTTGTCCAATCAAAGCAAGTTTCTCACATCTGTGACGTTGAAAACCTCCAGATATTCTGACTTGTTATGTAAAATGTTTGGCTGATTGACTTGAACTATCAAGTCTTTTCTCAACATTTCAAGATCTATGAAGTTCACGAGAAAATCTGCTCCATCGTAAAATATTTCTTATTCTGAGCAATGAACATTTTCTTGGTGGGGGGGGAAATATGCAGGTCACCTGATTGGACAAACAACCATATGTGTATTTAAACAGAAGACTTGAATAACTAAAAAAGCAACTAGTAAACTTGAGCAACTTTATTTGCTCAAGTTGCATTGATGCATAAAATCTGTTGACCACTTCTATTCTGATTTATTGTTAACTGTAATAACCTTGCATGGAGCATACTCTTATAAAGATCAGCTTCATTTAAGCAAACATTAAAACCATAAAAACAGAACTGATACTCAGTTCAACATCATGATAAGATTTATTTCGGGGTTTAAGCCTGCTTCTTTAAACATTAGGGAGTGAAGTATTTCTATAATAAGCTTTTTTTTTTCTTTCCACGCTAGATATTGTTTGTGGAAACGTAAAAAGCCTAAACCAAAAATAACAGTTAGTTAGTATCTCCCGCTGTTCGTGCAGCCTTACCTGCGCAGCGCACAAGAAAAAGGGCAACAAAAATGAGCTTAGTCCGCATCTTGGTCCGGAGAGTTCATGTTTTCCCGAGAAACCAGCGGCTTTTTCCCGGGTGAGACACCTGTCCTGAACAACTTCTCTCCTCTGAGGAGTGAAAGAAGTCAGCAGAGACGAATAACCATTTACAAAAATAATAATAATAATAATAACAAAGACAGGTGAGATTAGCTCCCACTGTTTGTCCAGTCTACCTGTAAAGAATCAAAGATTTATGCTGACAGGTTTCCGTGTTCGGAAGAAGGAATGCGGCCTCACTCGTCGGTGCACATAACACCTGAGCAGGTGCAGCCCTGAGCTGTGAAACCTTCCCCTACTTAGCAATGCGGGCTTTTTTCCGAACTTCCGTCTTGAGAGGGTTTCACGGCCAACACGTTTATTGCCCTTGTTACGAAACGGTACAGCAATAATTCACCAAAGATTATTCTTCCGTCGAAGGTCAACAGATCCTCGGGTGACCAGACACGGAGTGACGCAAATAATCACCAAAAATGACCAGTTGAAAACACTTCGAATGTGTCATTGTGTGCACTATAAATCTTTCTAAATTATAATTCGAAACTCTTATGAATTATAAGTGTCTGGGTTTCACATTTTGTTATTCGAATTTATTGACGGCTAAATGACATTTGGCCGACAAATTTTCAAATCAAATTTCAAATGTTCAAATCATAGATTTGTCCCCAGAAATTGTCTGTGCAGAAATTGATAAGATTTTAGTTAAGGCACATGTTTTCTGTTCACCTTCAATCTTCAATGGAAATCGGACCGTTGTGGGTGAAGGCACAGTAGCCAAGACTCTTTGAATAAAAAAATAAATAAAATAAACCCAAAAACTTTCTTCTCATTTTTCTCGGGCCTGTATTTGAGCAGCTTCAAGCATGACACAGAACTGATGAGTGCAGACAAAAACTTCAGAGTTCAAACAACTTGAGCTACAAATTAAATTTAAATTGCTATGAAACAAGACAATTAAGAGCATAGCAGAAAATGAGTCAATGGCCTCTGGTGTAACACTTGTGGTCAATATTGTAATTGCAGCCCCTCTATTCGGCAAAAACAAAACAAAGAACATTAAATATAAAAGTAAAGCATAGAGTATTGCTTTTCATATGATATATATATATTTTTAGTAAATAATGTACTAAACTCCGTATGTGTGTATTGAGCGCATATTTAGAAGTCTGACGTTCCTAAAAGGTAGCGGAACGTTTTGTCTTGTGCCTTAAAAGCGTCGGGATTGTTTTAAGCGCAGCACCGCTGTTAGCACTTAGCTTGTTGATATTTGTGCGCTCCCTTGATGGAGCGACCAGCTCGGTTTTTGTGATGTTTGGATGAAAAATAATTAACATTTAAAGAGGCAAACATGGCGCTTTCGATGGAAACGCAGCTTCAGAGCATCTTTGAAGATGTTGTGGTAACACACATGTTTATAAGTTCATGTATTAGCGAGCTAAGACTAGTTAGCATTTGACTTGTCAGCTTTTTAATTGAAATGCACACAGTAATCTCACTTTAGATTTGATCATGTAAACATAAATGCAGTTCAGATGGTTAGTATTTGATGCATGATTACAGATAATGCTGTCTATAGAGATATTTGTGTCTCTTTTTCACCCCACAAGCTACAGGATAGATTTGTTTCGGACTATGCCAAGCATTATGTTTATTTTTATGCATGTCAGAATTGTCTTCAAAATAGGGTTTTTGAAGACAATGTTAAAGTTAAAACCAAACTGTCTGAGTTGTTATTTTACCTTTATTTCTATAATTTGTCTCTGTTGTTTATTTGTGTTTCTGTATTCCACAGAAAACGGAGATGATAGAAGAGGCATTTGCAGGGTAACACTTTAATCTTTACACTTGCAGTACATTGCTAAATTATTTATTTATTACTGTTTTTCAGATCCTACACATTGCAATCAGAAAATTTTGGTGGATTTGTGGAAAAAAAAATCTTGAAAATTGAAGTTTGGAATTGAAGTGTTTTACATCTGGAAAGACCAGCTACAAGTGATAAACTACAAAAGGGTGGATTCAAAAAGTCCTGACCTCTTCTTTTTTTTTTATATTTTTTTTATAGGATGTTCATGGACACTCCTGAGAATGAGAGGACTAAACTGATAAGCTGTCTCGGGGCCTTCAGGCAGTACTGGGGAACCCTGCAACAGGTTTCTACATGTGCAAATTCAAACACATACCAGCACTAAAAGATAACCTACATTAACTTCATTCTGTCACCTGCCTCTGTGTTTCTTCAGGACTCTCATGAGCAGTGTGTGCAGTGGATAGTGCGCTTCATCCACAGTCAGCACAGTCCCAAGAGGATCTCATTCCTGTACGACTGTCTGGCGATGGCTGTAGAGACCAGTTTGTTAATGCCTAGGTCAAGACCTACTCACTTCTTAAAGCCTGATTACCACAATTCATAAACATCTAATTAATCTGAAATGTATGTTTAGGATGGTGTGTGTTGCCCTGATTAGCTCTGAGAGCTTGGAGTGGGAAAGGACTCGACTGTGGGCCTTAACTTTCAAACTTATTCGCAAGATCATCGGAGGAGTGGATTACAAGGTCTCTGACACAAAACAATGCATGATAAGGAACTGATGCTATATGCGTTAGTGTTACATGTTTGTTGTCAAAGCTCTAAGTTGATTTGTTCTCCATTTTAAGGCTTGTAGAGTAATGTTTATTTAAACTTAGACGGTTTAAAAATTGTTTTGAAATTTAATCCAGGGTGTTCGTGATCTGCTGAAAGCTGTTCTGGATAAAATCCAGACTATCCCCATTACTGTCAGCTCAGCTATTGTACAGCAACTGCTGGCAGCAAGAGAGGTACTCAGACACATTATTACACATTTTTGCATTTTTCAGGTTTTTTTTTTCTTTTTTTTGTCGTTTTGTACATCTGTGTCACATTTTTAGTTTTTTTTTATCTGCTTCCATTGCAGGTAGTAGAATACATCCTGGACAGAAACGCCTGTCTGCTGCCTGCCTACTTTGCTGTCACAGAAATCAGAAAACTCTACCCAGAAGGACACCTTTCACATTGGGTAAAAGTGTTTCTAATACATAGGGCTGCAGGATGTTAAATAAATTGATGGCAACTTTATCGGTAATTATGACTATATTGATTGCAACTAATCCAAATTCATCTCGCCACCTTTTCTCATCTGTTACTCAAACACTTTTGATGACCTTCAGCATCTTTGGCACTGTCATTTATGTTAAGTGTCTGCATCATCATTAATGCAATAGGCTAAATATTAGGAACTGATGAGACTTGGAATATATTAACCAGCAGTTGGTGCTTTCCAAGCAGTCCTTTGTAATTAATATTTCAGGCACTCATATTGTGACAATTAATTTGTGGAGCTGTGTTGTAAAACTGGTACTTTGTTTTAATTTTTTCCTTGTAATAATCTGTTCATATGTCTTTTTCTCATCTGTAGCTTTTGGGCAGCCTGATATCAGACTTTGTGGACAGTTTCAGACCCACGGCCAGAATCAACTCTATATGTGGTAAGGCACTAAATATGTCTAAAATATACAAGATTTCAGTTTTTTTTTTTCTTCATTCTTAAAAACATTTCATTTTAGTTTGTTAGTACAACATGAGCTCAGCCGTTCTTACTTTTTAATGACCTTCATATTGATTTTGTTTTTGTCCAGATATTGCATATTTTTATTTTATATAACTCACTGAGAGTCAACTATGATTATGTGACGCTGATAAATAATGAGCGTCAACAGGAGGTCACTTAGTTATTTTGGTTTATTCAAAAAGAGTATGCTAGGGTATAATATGAGCGCTTCAGAAACTTTACGACTCTGGCAGTTAATAACCTGCCTTTGTTCCTGAACTGTTTATTCCTTATTATCTTGTTGGCATGGTTTCTCATCCAAAGTGTACACAGACTATTTCATGCTTTGCCATCATACCTGACAGTGTAAATGTTAGGTTATGACAAAAGAAAAAAAACCCTCTGTTTACTAACATTGTGAAGATATCTACCCATAAAGTACAAAATGTTTTAAAATATTGTAACAAAAATAAAATAAGGATTCATGTTCACCCAGATGTATAAACACGTTCTTCTTTGACATTGTTCACTGCTACTTTGTTGCCAGCATATAAATCAAGATGCTTTTAGCACCTGTTCAAATTTTACCACAAAATAATCTATTTGCTCTCGCTGTTTGCTCAGAAACAGCATGTGCTGCTTGTTTGAGAATGAGGTGGACAATCAGCAACTTGTAAACTCTTAAGATAAAGCTATACATCAGATAAGTAAAGTTTGTTTCATAATGGTTTCAGCATAAAGCTCAATATCAGGAAAGAAGGTGCCATGCTGACTTGTTTTATCTTTGCGATGGAGCCTGGCTGTAACCAGATTCAGAGCAGTGGGAAAACTTCAATATTTTGATCAGAGTATTAGCAAGGTGTCCTTTCATCTTTGAACAGGTGTATTTAAAATTAACATCTTACAAAGCCTGAAATTCATAAAAAAATTAAATAGGCCTTCCATATGTCAAACACAGGCCTTTAATTTTGTCATGCGAACACTATTTAGTCTTGTATTTTTTTGTCACGCAATTGTTTGAGTCACTTCTGTGACGTCAAGCGGTTGTGGCTACCGCTAGCTAAAGTGTAAATTTATTACTTGTTGCTTGGACGACATTTGTCTTCGCCATTATCACCTTTGTAGTGATATAGGTATTAAATTTGATTGCAAGTTGTCTTAAAAAGTCTTTAATTTGCTTGTGAAAACTGCAGAAATCTTGATATTTTCGTCAGCCTATGATCTGTTTCTTTATACACTACATCTTTTCCTATCGATTCTTTGTATTTGCACCTCTTACAAAATCTTCCAATCAGAGAAGATCAGAAAAATCTCCATGTGATTGAAAGGACACAGCTCTACGTGTTTTTCCTCGAATTGATTTTCGTTCGGTTTTTTGAATCGGTCTTATCTAATCCGTGTGTCTGCAGGACGGTGTAGTCTGTTGCCTGTGGTGAACAACAGCGGAGCCATCTGCAACTCCTGGAAATTAGACCCAACAACACTTCGCTTCCCTCTGAGGGGCATGCTGCCTTATGACAAAGTAACATACCTGTACACATCCAACACTTTGAACTGCAAAAGTATTCACAACCCCCTGGAATGTTTTTCATA